ACAAGCACACCAGTATACATGTACATGTACATGTACAAACAGGTGTACATGTACATGTATGTATACACTTCATCCCATAGCTAGGTTCAGAGGGTGAAAGATCAACATGTGGCAAGCCAAGCGCCCTCTCTTGGTTACATGGTCTCATAATTATCATATTTCAATGGTCATATTCACTGATGCTCTTGTTAGAATTTCAAGAGAGTGAAAGACGTGCTAGTTAAATGTAAGTGGAAAATAACTGTGTGTATCTGATCCTTTTCCTAAATAATATGCTTGGAGGAAAAATGAATTCTTGGTATAGTCAGTTTTTTTCCTACAAGCAAACTGCTAAATTTTATGAGTCATTTTTAAAGCCTACATTGATAGGGTAAAAATGACCAACTCTGTATATTTTCCTCAATGACATTCATGCAATGTCTCCCTCAAATGTTTTCTTACATGTGCACTTTTTGAGAGTCTCACAAAACTTTCACAAGGTCTACATTCACAACATTTCCTGACACATTTTTCTTGCTGACACTATTTTTCAAAAAGATCTATACAAATACAGTAAAAAGATAATCGATGACTCGCGGTGTCGTGTTGCTGGTAGCGACGTTTCGGCTGCTAGTGCTGCTAGCCTTCATCAGGCAACTGAAGTCTGGATGCTGCAGGGTCTGCTATATACCGCCGGACCGCGTCCTCCACGTGTCCCCCGCCGTGTATTGCGGTTTTGAAAGCCCAGGATTGTTTCTCAACCTCAGAAAAATTCTATACATGTAGATCTATACAAACTACTTGAACAGGAAAATACACTCGGTGTGCTTCTTATGGGCAATACCAGGCAAAATAAATTTATACTCAAAAAAAGCAGTTTCAAGTATTTTCTGAATTATTAGCTTTCTTTTATATTTGCATGTAGGCAGAGGCAGCGAGTGCTTTTCAAACATATTTTTCAAACCTTGTATTACATCACAATTGGCTGAACCACCCTGGAATTTACCACTGATTGTCTTCCATGCATAAGATACAGGCATAAGTCCAAGAAAATCTGGAAAGTGTTGGGGATAGTACTGACCAAGCCTCCCTCCCAATCCCCAAGTAGGTGTCAAGGGTAACATTTGTAAAAATCAAAGCTCAAGATGGTGATTTTCAAGGGGTTTTAAGGCAAAAATAATGCACTATACAACTGTTTCCTGACTGCCTGCTATTGAAAAAAAAACAAGCTTATTTTCTTCCTGACAAGTTCTTTGACATAATTTTTTACTTATCAGCTAGAATTGGTGATTTTGTTACTTGTACATTTGTTGATATCTAGTACCCACCACTGGAGTGGTAAGGGGGGGGCAACTGGGGAAATGCTCCCTCCCCCCCCAAAAAAAAGTGCACAGACAATTGTTCTTTTTCTTTTCCCTACCTTCCACATGTGTTTTGAAAGCCCAGGATTGTTTCTCAACCTCAGAAAAATTAAAACAAAAAGTTACAGAAAAATGTCAGCATTCTGAAGCAAAAAGGAATCCCCCTACCGAAAAAAACCAATTCTGGACCCATCCTTGCTACCAGTTGGTTACCTTTGGTATTTTAGTAGATTCTTGTTTACCGAACTCCCTGATACAGGGTTTAATCTTCTGGATATAAAGCGTTTTTTAACATCCCTTCAGGACTGTTTTACAATTGTTTGTATTAACCTATGTTGACAGTGTTCTCATTTACAGTGTTTTTTTCAGATACAACACTCAAAGTATTAAGTTCCGATTACATACATGTAGGCCTTGACCTTAGCACTGGACTGGCACACAAGTTCTAGTACAAACTGCCATGGGCTACTTGCCTGGGTGGGCTAGTAAAGAATACCCTGAGCCTACCTCTTTTAAACTGTCATTTATCATACAGAGGCTAGTTTTCCCAGAAAACCCACATTTTTGGTATTTTTGTTCTATACCACATTTTCAGACAAAGTTTCTTTTCAGACAGTTTTAGAAAAGGAATTTCATTCAGATTTCTGACTCCCACTTCGACATGTTTGGATGGTTTGTCAAACATCACGGGAGCCAAAAAAAAAAGATACAAAATTCACAGGACACAAAGTCACTCACTTTGTGTGATTCCAAAAACACTTTTTTCATACTCAACTGTCTTGTACCGGTAAACTCTCTTGTCTGATACCTATTGCATCAAAATAACTTTTAGACTCTCTGTTTGTTTTTAAATTTGCTGAAAGCGGAACTTATTTTTGTCCTAGTTTCGGATCGTGCATGCATGTGCACAAACTCAACTGCATGTACATGTACAGTACAGATTTGTACATGTAGGTGATGTCATCCTGCAGTTACAATAAAAACATGTGACATGGTGTCTGTCGGGACACTCCTAGCAGTTTCGACACAGATTTTTTGTACAACACAGAGGTACAATGTACATGTACATCTGAACAAATGGAATGCCTACTTGGACTGGCTACAGGCTCATAATGCATATTATTATTTGCATATTATGCCAAATCACAACCATTCCATGCACATTAAACTTTATTCAGAAAGGCATGTGTGGATGGCATGCATTGTCAGAATACAAATTTCCCTTTGAGGATCAAGACAGAGTGCTTGCTTGTAACGAATTAGCAAAAATTAGCATATTGATAAAAAAATTGGCAATTCAAGTGACCAAAGCTAAACGGAATAATAGATTGATCGTAAAATTGTTAGTACAGTGGTAAAATTTAAGGACCCTTTCAGCAACCTATAAACAAAAGCCAAACATCCTACCCCTCTTACTGAAAACCCAACAGCAAACATGTTCTGTGCTGAAAATACAGATTTCCCACACTCAATTTGTTGCTCAATATCAACCCTGATTGTAAAGAATAAAAGAGTTACTTCTCTTTGACAGTATTTAAATATGAGTAAATGAGTAGCTGCAATCAATTTATTTTAATACAAAGCTTCAAAACGCCCCTCTGTGTCTCAGTTCACCTTAATTTCAACTTTTGTTTCAGTATTTCAAAGGTTAATTTAATTTATAATAATTTCATATTATGAGCAAAACTGTGATGTCATCCCAGGAGGAAGCGTCAATGTTACGTTGGTTCGTACACAAAAAGTCCTGCATTTTTGGAAATTTTGCTAGACTCAGGTTTCTCTTCTTTGCTGATACCGTTACCTTGTTGTTTACGCACACAGCAATAAGCAAGCATCAATCCCATTCTCAGAAATGTCTTCAGTTAGTAAAGTCTGGGTTCACAATTTGAACAGAAAAACTTATGCACTGAACTACATGTATGTCTTCCCAGATGACTTCACGGCAACAGCACCCTCAGTTGTCCAGGAAAGCACGGCTATTCAAGTTGAACGTTTTAAAAAGTGCACTTTTCAATGCTATTATGCATTTAACCAAATACATGAACATAAAGGAGTTTTTAAATGCTGAAGAAGAGTACAAAGTTGCAGCAAAGTTGTGTCTTAGAAAAAGTCACTGCAGCTACACTTTAACAGGAACGTGCAATTTTGTGTTATGCAAGAGGTAATATGCAAGAAAGAGAAGTTACTGTTTGACCGACGGAGGTTTTGGTGCTATTGTCAAAAAACCGTCATGCAACGCAATCATTTTGAACTTACAGTATAGGCCTGTGTATTTTGAAAAGTCATCTTTGTTGGTTCGTGTTAAATTTCTGTTTGCTATTTTAAAAGGTACATGTATGTTGACAGCTTTTTGGTTTCATATTCATGAGCAAACCTATGATGTCATACAGAAGAGAAACCCTTGGTCTTGCATTAATTTGTACACAACTGTTGCATTTTTATACATTTCGCTGTCTTCAATTTCCTTCTTCCTCAGCGATTAATTGTGTAAGCTCCCTGCAATAAGCAGAGAAGCAAATCTTTTTCATAATTTCTTTCAATGAGAAAATTTTGAGTTCACAGTAAAACACATGAACTGAATTACAGTGTCTCCGCTTCTCAACAAAGCACCCTCAATTGTCCACAAAGACTACAACAATGTTAAATGGTCCAAAAAGGATTACATTTCCATTTTAATAACCCACAAAGCATGTTTCAACTTTCATTCCTTGAAGATTATAAATATGCACAAAGAATATGCCTTTCCCTACCTACAATGTGGCACAGAATGGATCAGTACTAAAAAGTTCTTGCATACTGTTGCATTTAGCACTTGACATAAGTGGTAGAGTACTATGTACACTTTGCTAGTACTTGACACTGCTGAGACTGGTGTTCATTCAGTGCACTGCACAGTCCCGTATCATTGCAGTTTGTTGCACATTCTGTTACATTCAGCAGGGCTCTCAACTTGTGCAATGAATTACAGTGTAACAGACTCTTACAATCAAGGAAAAATGGGCAACTCAAAGGAACTTCTGGCTGGTTGTAAAGTAATGTGAAAATGGGGCAATCCTTGCCACGTGCATGTGGGGCCTCAGAATGGGGGGGTTGACTCAGGAAAATAAAGCAAGAGGCCAAACTAAGGTTTCAACAATCAGACTTTCTTGTATTCGTCTTCCTCACTAACAATCACAAACAGGATAAATTCATCAGAGAGATCGTTAAGACTGAAACAGAAAATGTACGAAAACTGTGGAGAGGCGTTAGCCTACCTGATAACTGGTCAACTGCCAAACTTGAACTTGAAAACTTGAAAAAATGTAAAGTGTTTTCAAAATGGCAGGCAGCGTTCATTCAACAACTATTCAGTTACTACTGTAAAAGATGTCATTGTCTCTGAAACAAAATGTGTAAAATAATTAAAATGCTATACAACTAACAACCCCTTGAGAAATTAAACCAAAGGACATTCTGCAGCTACACAACCTTTCAGGAGCATCAGGTTTATGCAAGGTGCCAAGTTAAGCCGACCTCTAAGAAATTGGCTGCAGGGGGTGGAATCTCAAAACCACAGATTTGGAATGAAAATAGTTTTACTGTGTCCACCACGATAGCCTGGGATGACACGTAACTTTAACCAACATGCACGGCACGCTTCGAAGCAACATACCCACTTACCTCAGAATCCGATGCTCCAGCTGCGGCCCCCTCCGCCCCACCACCAAGCTGAGCATCACCCTCTGCGTCACCCCGTGTCTCACCCCTGGCCAACCGCCAGGCCAGGGAGCCTGAGAGTCGCCCCTGCTCCTCTCCATTGCGGATGACCTTGGGGGCTAGGAACTCGGCCAGCTCCACGGCAGACCGCTGCTCTAGGACGGCCCTTCGCTCTGCTGACAGGTGGCGTTGCCTCTGATGAAAATTAGCAAAGGAGACACATATCAATTTTTGCCCCATCATAAACCATACATCATCATCCATGGTTGAACAGACATTTCACATCTAATTTGAAAATCAATGCAGCGTCATGTTTTGAAGAATTCTTGTTCAAGCACTTGTGAATGATCAGTATCCTTACTTTTTCTCTGACATGAAAGAATTCACATGTGAATCAGTGCACATTAATAACAAAAATTCCTAAAAGTAATTATCACTATAAAGATAATGAATGTTTGATTAACAACAACCACTGAAAGATATCAACTTGTGTTTCTTGTACCAATGTTAAAGACCACAAGGAAATCAACAGAAGAAAACAAAGTACAAAAGTTGTTTTTATTCATTCCTTACTTCATTGTTCATGGTTGCTATGGTTTATTTGTTCTTTACTTCGTTGTTCATGGTTGCTATGGTTTATTTGTTCTTTA